TAAGTTAATATATATAAATTTTATATACATTATGAGTTTTAAAGATTTAAATATAATTTTAAAAATAAATTAATCTGTGTATATATATATATATATTCATATTAAATAAATAAAATTATTTCATGCATCGCATGAGTTATAATATAGTTATTTTATATTTTGTTTAGTTTACCAGAAAAAAAAAGACGTGTGGTAAAAAGATTAAAAATTTTGGAAAAAAAATTAAAAAATCACAACTTTAAATGAAATTTCAAGAGAGAATTAAAATATATTTTTTTAAATTTCCTAAATTTTAAATTCTATTTTAATTTTATCTAAACAAATAAATTTATTTTTACACTTTTTAAAATTTTAAATGAAATGAAATCATTTTTCCAAATTATCTATCCAAACACATACCCGAAGAAAAAAACATTAAACACTCCCCAAAATTAGTTAGTATTTGCTTACGATGAAATGGTGTAATTCAAAATTCAAATCACAATTTAATGAGACATTAAGTAATTATCTGCAATCAAAGATTAATTAGCGCTTATATACCTAACCAATTATCTCATCGCTTGTTATTCCACATTTCATATTATTTGACACAAACAAGTTCTTATAACTAGGAAATTAACCGGTTTAAATATATTTTTAAACTCAAAATTATTTCTAGATATCATGCTTAAAAATTTTTCAATTTTTCAATATTTTAATATTTTTGTGACGTAATAAAAAATTTTCTATCACTCACAGGTATTAGTCTAATTGATAAAAGAAGAACTCTTGTCTTGTCAATCTGAAATTAATTTCGAAAATATTTTGGTTTAATTTAATTTTTCATTATTTTGGTTTGGTTATGAAACAATTACACCAATGTGCTTTACATGCCGAACATTATGGTCTCAAAAAAAAAGTTCGTCACAGATTTTCATAGTAATTACTAGAATTGTTCGAACCATGGGTCCACTTATGCTATTAAGATTTGTTTTTCATTACAACTATTACTTTAGCATTATTTTTATTTTGTTCAATTGAATCGTGATGGTGCCGGTATGGTTCCCCATGCCCTTAATAAAAAAAAAAAAATTAGCATGTTGCTTTGATAGCCATCAAATGTGTGAAGCTCACCGGCCAATGTGAACTGTATTAGTAATCAGTATTAATCCACGGAAATCATTATATAATTAGCAACGACCAATTACAGTTATCGACGTTTTATTGGTTTTCCCGTTTCTGAAAAGCAAGCACAAGGGTTATCTTTAAGAGATGGGCTCGGAAATTTTAAAAATCCAATGTTGACATTTTGTAATTTTTTCTTTTATTTTCGTACTGTAATTTTTTATATAAAAAAAAAAATTAAACCCGCATTTCGCAAAACTTTCGTTGCATGCATTGTTCGAATTTGTGTTTCTTGAATCAAAACAAAGAAAAATTTAGCCAAATAATTAAGATGTCTTTTGTTTGAGAGAAAGGAGTGGGGGAGGTCTCAACTCTCAAGTCTTTGAACGGCAAGCAGGTATTAGGCAACTGTAATTGGTTTCTTGACGTACAAAGGTAATTGATATATCACATGATCCAGAAATAATTTTGATTATTATAATCAAAATCATCTGATACTTACTTTGTGTCTGACTGAGTTGTTTTGGTTGATTTTCAAATGTTTGGAATGTCGAAAATTGTTACACAAAGCAACGCTGCTAACTCCAAAGAGGTTGAAACTAGAAAGTTCTCTTCCAACTCCAAATGACCCTGTCAGAGTAGTCATGGTTGGTGTCCTACCTATATCCTCTCTTCAGATAGATTTTGTGCACTGTTCCAGACAATTGAATTTATGCCTGCCAAATTATAACCTTTTGAAAATCGAATTGAATTTCTCCAACAAATTATTAGATTAAAAAAAAACGGTATGTTTTCATTGATGGGTATGACTATGCTACATTTAGGACTATGATTGAGTCTTGACTTAATATATGCTGTAGTGTTTGGGGAATAATTGACTAGGAAATGAAATGACTCCACAAGATCTTGGCAACATTGGGCTACTCTCACTCGACAGAGAGAGTGAGTCTATTGAGCATGCATTATTATTGTGCGATTACTTCGTTTGATAAATGGCTTGGAAAAGTATTTGGTATGCCAGAGACAGGTATGTAAGGAAAGAGGAAGTTTATGATTTCTGTACCAATGGCCTGGTGGCTAATTCAGAAGGATAGGTGTGCTTTGGTTTTTCAGAAAAAAAGTTCCTGATCCTATGCTCTGTATTAGGAAGATCAATGAGGCTGTTGTAGAATTATTGCCAATAAATTTGCAGGTCATAAGGTGTCTGAAACAGGAAAAGCAAGATGAATGTGTTGGATGGACTCGACCAGAATCTGGTTGGGTTAAAGATAATTGTGATGGTGCTTTTAATGAATCAGAGGAAGCTGGTATAGGTGTTGTTATTAGAGATGAGGAAGGAAGAGTCATTGCTGGGTCTGCTTGTGTTGGAAACTGATTCTGAGCATTTACATAAAGAAATAACAGGAAATAGAAAAAAGGGATGTTGGAGAGTGTTTCCTTGTGTAAAGGATACACAAATGAGGAAGTTGAAATTTGAAGGTTTTAATTGTTCCTGGATTAAATAGAAAAGCTAATCAAGCAACTGACTGGGTTGCTAACCAATTCAAGAGGGGGATGTGCTCTTGCTTGAGCCATGACTTGATCTGTGCTGTATTGATGCTGATACCTGATGGTCACATTTGTATCGCACTTACAGACAATTTTAAGTAATCTCCACAATATGAAACTCAGAAAGGCACCTTTATTTTACTAAAAATGGGTTGCTGGATGCCCGCATCTAACCAAAAAAAAAAGGCGAAAAGACAACTGAAGTCTGCTACTATAAAAATTGTTTAAGCAATTTAATGTCCAAGGTCAAGTTGTTCTACTTTACTGATTTCAAAATTCACTTATGTGAGAGCTTCACTGCAGTATGTATTTGCTATTTTTTCTTTTTTTTTTTCTTTTGCTGGACATTTTCTAAAGGATTAAACAAACCCATAAAAGATCCAAATTTAAAAGATTCAAGATTACTTTGACAATTCCTATCCATGGCCCCAATTTATCCATGAGGATACCCAGACTTGGATTTAGGAGATCAAATTGTTCTAATTATCTATAACATATAAGATAAATCTAAGACTGACTACATAGTTTAGTTTTATAAGTAACATGAATATTCCTATGGGAATGCGGTTCAAGTACAAGAGAGGCAAATCCTGAAATTAGAATCTTGATTTCATGTTCTTTTCTTTCCGAGTCTTCTATTACCATATGCATGAAGCAAACTTATTAGTTGATCTTGCTAGATTGAGGGCCTATTGGACGCTCTCCGATGAAAGTTCAAAGAGTCAATGGCGAAGGGCACATGCTTCATCCCGCATATTGTGAGAGGTTGTTCAATGGACTAACAAGAGTATAAATGATATATTAATACTTACAAACTATTTGAGTTTAATTCGAAAAAAATTCGAATTCGACTCAATTATTGTCGAGTAAAACTCGAGCTTGAATAGCTCGCGAGCCTAATTTAACTTTTATATTTAAATATATTTTTATTATTTTAATTAATAAAATACTTCAAATTCGAGCTCAAATTTGAACACAAATAATTAAACTTTTATCGAATATAAGAATCAAACTTATTTTTACATATTAATCGAGCCTAATCAAATAAGTTCAAGTAGCTCGATTTTCTCGAACTACTAAAATAAAATTCGATTGAGTTTAAGTCAAATTTCGAGTAACGAATTTTCAATCAAGCTCGAGCTCGAATTTAATATTGTATCGATTCAAATTCAATCGATTACGACCTAATACCAACCTAACAGCACGTTCTTATTTGTGTATTTTAACCCAAAATATAGCAAACCCTCCAATCATTAACGTTGAATATTTTGACTTTAGGTTTATACATCGACAAATACATTGCTTAAACTAGCTTATTTGGAGCAACAGTGTCATTTTCTTAAACGTCTGCTACTGCTAAAACAAGCAGATGCTGCACGGCTCCATGCTTCTAGCACATTCTTGCCCTGCTGTCATGAGGCATGTGGACCGACTCTAGGACTGATAATTGAGAGGTTAGTTTAAGGTTTCGATTCTTAATCATATCCTAAATTTAGTAAGATCTGGAACTAGTAAAAACAGTCTATACCGTTTTGGGCACCTAATTATTTGCACCATCTATCAAAGGTCATCATGTACATTGAGTTGTGCGAGGCTGAGAGTTTTCATCATGTTCTTATCAATTGAGACCTTTGCCAAATTCCTAGCATAGCTTGACAACATCCAATCGGGGGCCTGATCAGCTAGACTTAGTTTTGGGCTATGAAGACAAAGAAGTTGTAAGAGTAACAAGCTGATGAAGAAACTTCAATATTTTTTACCGAGTCCAGGAGCTATGACCTTCTTTTTTTTCTTAACTTTAGTTGCCGGTGAAAGAGAGATATTATTGTGAATAAACCAGAAAGCTGATGATAACATATGCAAATGCATATAGGAGGTTCTATTCCTATCGCCATGTGGAGAAATGTGGCTGCAGAGCCTCTAACTCAAGTTAATTTCAGCTAATTAAGTTAATTCCAGCAAATTCATTTCAAACTAATCATCCTCCCGCCTCTTCTTAGTGTTCTTTAGCTATCCCATGCTGATATAAGTTTACCAATCTCTTAAGAGTTCATTTCGTACAAAATTCACTGTCAGATTTTATCAGATTCAACATGAAGTTTGTTATTGTACTTTGATGATCTTCAATTATTTCAATTCAACTTTTACATTATTTATTTGTTGTACTGAAAACAAAAAAGCACTACAGGCTAGACAAAATACGTACTACTCCGTATATATATGTATTCCAACAAGAGATTCTTTCACAACAAAAACATAGGGAGGAAGTAAGGATTACAAATTATGTGCCTCTTCCTGATACATTTATATTTTATAGTGGCATAAATAAGAGCATAACAGAACTTAGAAAAGGAGATGGAATCTCTAATCGCGATTCTTCTATTAGTACTATATATATATATATGTATAACTAGGGTGACATCTGATACTTGTAGTAGCTCAGTGAATAATCTTTATTATAGGTGAGATGCAGGTCCATTCTTCATTAATTGAGCTTCAGATTTTTCATCCTGCATATTAAAGAAAATCAGCAGAGACTTAGCAGTAAAAAATAATGGAACATGCTGCTTGTTTGATTTACATATTCATCACTGTTGATAAATGAAGTTTTGCTGTTAAAATATTTGGAGGAGGAAGAGAGAGAGAATATTAGCTGATTTGCTAGTTAAAGCTTAGAGTATCAGAGCACGTGAAAAGCGCATAGGAATAAGACTCATGAGCTAGTAGGAGACGACAGATAAGAAAAATCAGGAGTTGCCATGATTACCTAGGTTCTAAAAGTATTGGACTCTATGCATATGATTGAAATTATGTAAATGGGTCCTCCTGTAAATATGATGTACTTTGAAAACTACAGTTCTGATTCCAATTTTAAAAGCTTAAACTTCGTAGGTTATGAGTGTTCTCTGATGAGAAGTGTGGGGCATAGAGTCAGAGAATCAACCTAAAGTTAAGGGCCAGACTTGAGGGACAGGCCTTCCCTTTTTGAGATTTAGCTACTTTAATTATGGCATGGCATGGTTATACTAGAAAGTAAAAGCAATTAGGTAGTTAAATCTCTGGTGACTTTTTTTATTAGGTGAAAGTCTTTTCCTTTTTCTAGTATTATTTTACTACCTTTTCTCATTATCACTCACGTTACCTCGGCTACTTCCGCCAGTGGTCCTGTAGTTGGGGAAGGGCACTTGGCCTGACTCAATATGCTTGACATCCTCCACGAGCTGCTCATAGTGCCTCTTCACTTCCTCAGCAGTTTTCCCTCCAACCGCCCTGGCAACATTGTACCAACGGTCAGGGGTGTCCTTATCATACACAGCCAAAGCCCTTTCAAAGTCTTTGTTTTGCTTGGCTGTCCATGAACCGGAACCACGGGAGGACATTGAGCTTGATGCCATTTTCTTACGCTAACTAATGTAAAACAGCAGTTCAAATTTAGGCAATATTTAGAAATGATTTTTTTTTTGTGGAAAGTGAGGAAACAGAACAAAGCAAAAGATAGTGAGGAGGATATAAAGTCAAAAGAAGACAGCAGTCAAGGGATGATATGTGCAAAGAGGTGGCAATGGCTGCTCTTTATAAGCAGAGGAGTAGGGGGGGGTGAGGTGGGGTATATGGCCAGTTGCTTAGAAATTTGCAAAGAATTGTAGAATTTTAATGATTTGTCTCCTTCGGAACCACAAAATGTTGTAGGACAAAGAAGAAAAACTGAAATGTAAGAGAATCAGTATCTCCCAGAATCAAATAAAAAATGTACTATACCAGTAAATAATTAATACAAGCAGTTAAGTCCTTCGCTTATTATTCTGCACATATGATATAAGCTATGCAGGTTAAAAAATTTCTATTCTTCCCTTTATAATCATGTGAAGTATGAACTGATTGATATATCAGAAAACACAGAAAAAGTACTGCTTAAAAGAGTAGATTCCGGAAAAGCTTTTCCTTGTTTTAGCCAATAGTTTAAAAAAAAAAAAAAAAACTTTACTTGATCGACATAATTCATTGGGTTTTGGACTGATAACTTCCTTACTTCCTGGACAACAAAGTAATTTCAGTTGAACATGCATTCCAATACCCGCTGAGGAAAAAGCAAAACAGAAATCCCAGGGTTTGCTTCTATTCCGTATGTTAGGATTTATTTAGTTTTTTTCTTTTCTGATTTCAATTTTCCCTTTGCATGCTCTTAATTCTATTCCTTGCATACGCGCAGGTGGTTCCATTCTCGAACCATAGACCAAAATCTAGTGATAATAGTTTAGCACACTGTGTCCTGAACAACATTCCAAGCATTCTAGCTGGCTCGTTGATTTCGTACAATCATAATCTTGTGTTTTTTTCTCCTGGCAAGGTCAAACATATGCTACCTTACTCTTTTTACAATTTGGGGCCTTTGTTGAATGTTTGGTTTTCTGGTAAAAGGATGTGTTTTAGCAAAGTTTACCGGCCAATGATCTCTTGTTCTTTGACTGGAATTTGTTTTACCAAGGAATGTTTAGAAAGTTTGCTGTCTTACTGGATCCTATGTACGGTGGAATTCATTGCTCTGGACTCCTAGAGTTTTCTGCTTTTCTAAATTTAACACCATCAAATTTCAAACAAGACTCTGTTATCAGTCTAATTCGTTGTTGAATAGAAAATTGGAAACCCTTTTTCCCCTGGATATAACAATGAACAAGTAGCTGTCTTTATTAGATTCATTGTTTTTCATTTCAACCACAGAGGCATCAACATCAAAGAGGGGGAAAAAGGCATATTTTTCATGATAAATGAGTTCGTTATGAAGAAATGTATATACCTTGCACGGTAGGCAAAAGAAATTTGAATAAAAAAAATGTGAAAAACAAAGATTGGATCAAACTACATGGTGAAATTATTTGATGCAATCCCTTTCAAATAATCCCTAAAATGTGCGGAACACATCCAAAGCTGGTATCAGATAAGAATGAACAGAATACTGCTATATATGAGAAAGGGAATCCATGGTTCATAGAGTCCACTTATTCTTTACTTTTAGTGCCTTGTAGTACAGTAATTATTTTTTTTATGGCGCAATTATCCTATGTTTAAATGGAAAATTGATTTGAAGTCTTGCTTTTTTAGGGTGAACAGATGAGTTTGAGCTTGGCTGGTCCATATCCTTGTATTTCCAATGATAAGATCCATGATCATACTTGACTTCAGTCAGGCACAAACAAAATGCAATAATTTGACAGAATCTTTTATTGGCCCTGTTATATGGAGCCCCCATGGGCCATGTGGAATTTCAACTCTTCTCTCTCTCTCTCCCTCTTTTATTTTTTACTCTTTGGTTGTAAGGTTTTCCTATTAGACGATTACCCATTAAAATATCAACAAAAAATCTGGTTTGAACAAACAACATTTCGAACACATCTTTTAATTTCACCATTTTTCTAACTCTTCGACATAGACAAGTTGCTAATATGATTTAACAGAAGAAAGCAACATCTCTTGCAGATGCCTATAGGCCTCAGCAGATCAATATCGAGTCTGGAATCCCATTATTGCTGTAACGTAACCTCCGATTGTACAAAAAAATCTATTTTCTCCATCTTTGGACAAATGCAGATTGTTGTTGAGCCCTCTCTCGAGGTGAATTAAGCACGTATGATATAGCCAGCATGTGAAGTATTATTTCTAGCATATGCAAATTCTCTGCATGTTCTCTTGTCAACTTGAGCGATTATATGAACACATTGTAACATTTGCTATTACATTCTCTCATCAATATACTGCAGGGCAGATGAGTATCATAAAAATGGAAGGTTAGGATTGTCAAAGTAATGCCATTTCAAGCATATTAACAAACCTAATCTCTGTTAGTAGATTTAAGAAAAAATAAATAATAATAAAAAAAAAAGAAAATATGATTTAGAGGCGTGAATAACATTGTTTTAAAGATAATTACATCAATAGGATACAATAAAATTTTAAAACTCTTTAAATTAGAAGTAGTGAAATTAATCAGATAAAAAGATTTATTTATAATAAATAAACAGTCATTAATCAAAATAATTCAAAAAGTCATGACATTTTGTATAATCATATTTTATTATTTAAATAAGTTTTATTTAAATAATTATATTTTTTACTGTTCAAGTATATTTATTCGGAATCAATAATATTTTAAAATAAATAATAATAATAATAATAAAGATTTAAAAATTAAATCTATTTATCAAATAAATTCAAATGTCTCAAATACTCAAATATCTATTTTTTACTTTTAAAATTATCCAATCCACTAAAAAAACTCATGAAAAAATTAAATGATTTAATCTACTCTAATATTTAATTCAATTACTTAAATAATATAAATAATTTTTTTAAATTATTTATAAATAATTTTTTTACTCGATATAAAATATAATATTTTAAACTATCAATAATCTCTCCACTTATAAGTAACTAAAATCAGAAAATGACACAATTTGTGGGGAGAGACTAAATATCTGCTTGGAATAACAAGTCAAATCCACAGGAGCATCAGAATTCAGAGGACGGTGGTGGTGATATCATGTTTTAGGCTGCAAGTTGAATAGAGTAGCCCCAACCTATATGGGCCTGCGCTCATTAAAATCCTGCAAGTAGACCTCAGTATAGTCTATTCACATCGTGTAGAGTCCACAGAGCCGACTCTAATGTAAGATTCAGAATGACGCGAAAAACTTCTGCATTTGGGAAAGCATCAGTATGATTCCTCCAAATCTTCGTGACGTCGGCTGCTGTATAGTTCCAAAGTTGGTATAAAAATCTTAATTTTCAGAGGAAAAAAATAAAAACATTAACGTTTATCGGGAATTTTTTTTTATCTGTTCCCTTCTTGCCATTCTGCTGATTTATTTCTTTCTAAAGTGTTTCCTGAGCATATTAATTGAAACCCTTAGTTGTCATGGGGAAATTAGTTAAAGATGTAGAAGGTTTAGCAGCGTTAATTCACACAACGTAATGGCCTATAATGTCAAGTTGCAGGGGATGCTGACCACATGCTAATGGGGTTCGCTGTGATGATTGGTTGAAAATTACCCCAAGCAACTTTCTAGGAATCAGTACTTAAAAAAGTGATGCTTAGGGATACACCTCCCTGCCGATTTCTGGAATCCTTATCATTCAGTCTATCCAATTGAAAGTAATATCTGTGGACTTGTTCTTTTGCCGAGTGGTCCTTCCTTGGAAATTGGAGAAGTTGCTTTCGCAATGATTTGTTATTGATTTTAAAGGTTTAGCCAGTTTTAAGGCATCAATGGTCTTATACATTGCCCTTTTTAATAACTTTTCATCAGTTAAGACCACAGAACCAGGAATCTGCAACTTTATACCGACGGAAAAGAGTGCACCATCTATCCAAACTTTGCATGCCGGCCAGTATTTCATCAACCGCAAATGAATAAAGAAGATTACTTTTTTTTTTTTATCCGTAGAATCTTTGAAACAATGAGAAATTTCGGATGATGGAATGTGTAATTAGTTATTGCAAGGAATAAGACGAAAAGGTGTCTTCAAGATTTTCAAAATAAAATATAAAAAATGCTTTTATATTGAAAAACGAAAAAAAAAAGATAATTATTTAAATTAAGAGAAATAAAAATTTATTATAGTTAGATTTAAGTTATTAATAGATTATGGGTTTGAATTTTTAAGCTTGATTGGTCTTGTATTAATTAAATATTAATATATTTTAATTATTTAATTAATGACACTTGACACATATGATAAATAAAATATTATTTTATTTAAAATTTATAAATATTTAATTAATTAAGTATGTCCAAAATAAACAAACAAATAAAAATAAATAATTAAGTCTAAACAAAAAAATTTTTGTTTAAAATAAATAATTTTAATTGTTCAAAAAATAAATAGTTTCTTTCTATTTAAAATAAAAAGTTATCTCTACAAGAGAAAGAGACAATTATTTATAAAAATTTTTTAGATTTTTTGAAAAACGAAAAAGCAAAAGCAATTCTCGAAACTTTCTCTCTTTCTACGAAACTTCAAATTTATTTTATAAAAATTTTATTGTAATAAATTTTTATAAAAATTTAATAATCTTATAATACATCAATAAATATTCATTAAATTGATTTTATATGTGTAAAACATAGTCAATAACTGAGTTTTATTGTGTATAATTAAATTTTATTTACTGTAATTTTTTTTCATACTTACTAAATAAAAATACGATGAGATCGAATAAAATATTAAAAAAAGTGGAGCCTTTCCTCAACAATCCAAATTTACAATAAACAGTGATTTCAGATTTTCAATAATTTGTCTAACAAGGTCTACGGTAAAAGAACAGCTATAGGGGAAATGCAGAGGGAAATGTGTATGGATCACATTCCATCATCCTATTAAGGATCACAAAGCTATATAGTTTGGGTGGGTGTGATTGGATCGATTTTTCCAGACGTGTGTATGGAAAGGCTGAAGCAATAGAGAGAAACACTCAAAGTTGATAAATACATATGTGGCTTGTATAAGCTGGAAAACATGTGATGTATTACCACGACACGAGCCGTGCAAGAGAATAGAGATAATGGATAACTATTGATTACATTGTTTTTCTTTACAACCAATCGCATGACATCTACTCTGAATTGGATTGGAGCTTCATTGCAGTAAGAGGCAGGGAAACTATTCCCCCATTTATTATTATTATTATTATTATTATTATTATTATTATTATTATTATTTCTTTTGAAATTTATATAAAATTGTGCAGGGTATTGTGTCGTACGCTGATTCTAATGTAGGAAGATTCAGTGAGACCAAACCAAGATATAGTGGGCCAAAGATTCGTATGTTCTAATGCTGATCTTGTGCTGTCGTTCTCGCTACAGAGCACGTAAAAGTCAATATCGGTTTCGTGTCTGCTTGATGAGATTTTGCAAGCAATAATGCTTTTAGCAACCAAATTCAGCGAGCTGATAACAAAATATTCTCACCATCGGCATCTAAAGGGATGTAGCTATTGTCGACCGACTGATGTACCTTTGGTAAGGGAATGAAACCAAACTGCATTGTTAGAGTGATGCCGCCCCTGCAATGTGACAGGAATTAGATTTATCATCACCAGCAAAAAAAAAAAAAAAAAAGAAACCCCTTGATTCTTAAGAGGCTTAATGTAATTCAGCATCTTTGGCCATTAATAAGTAATTATACTCGGCGCTTCAAAGAAACGATTGTACGACCTACTTTTTCAAGGGCTAGTGGGAGGGACATTAACTGATACTATATGAAACTGCGGTTCTTATTACAGACACCAATTTTGACTAACGAATTTTTTTTTATTAATATTAATAATATTATTATTAAATAATTAATTAATTAAAAAAATCAAAAAATAAATCTTTTGGTTTAACTCTAACAGCTAAAATCAAGCTATCAACGTGATATTTTCTTTTTGACATTACCTAATTTGACAACCTAAAATTGGATGACGAAAAGTTATATGATAAATACAAAACTTTTACAAAAAAAGATATCAAAAGATCTAAGATCTTAAATCCCAAAAGCTTTATAAATAGAGTTAAATTTTGCAAAAATAAAAAGACACAGATAACAAAAAAAGGGGAAACACATAATAAAAAAAATAGCAAACACAAAAAAAAAAAAATTTTGATAATGAAATTCTGGATTTAGGAAGTTGTAGATTTTTTTTTTTTTTTTGAAAAATATGGGCTTGAAAAAGTATGTAAAAAGCAAATTTGATCATTGGGGAAATTTTTGGAAATTTTTTAAATTTTTTTTGGGTCGTTGAAAATTGGAAAAGTTTAAATTTTTTTATAATCGTTGAATTTTTCAACATCGAAATCTGGGGATCTTTGAATTTTTTGGCACAATTGAAGTTTTCGATCATCTGTGCATGGCAGCAACAGATCGAAAACTGAGTTTTCTAGAGAAAGGAGCCCTGGGTAGAGAGAGAAAAAGGAAATGAGAAAATAAAGAAAAAAACAAGAAACAGGCTTTTTATAGGCCCTTCAAAACAACGTCGTTTTGGACGTTTGGATCGAACCCGACCCGCGCAGGATTCGCACATCAACCCAATCCGTTTCGTAGGTTTTTTTTTTTTAATTTTTTGTTTTGATTTTGATTTTGATTTTTTATTTTATTTTTATGATGTTATTATTATTATTATTATTATTATTATTGGTAATAATTTTTTAGAAAAAACAAATAAATAAATAGAATAAAAAATGAAAATTGAAATAAAATAAAGACCTAAAAAAATATAAATAAAAAAATTTAACAATAATAACTATTTAAAGGAAATAAATTCTATTACAAGTAAAAATATTATTTAAATTTCACCAGAATGTTGGGATAATTTAAAAAAATTTGCTAAAAAATAAAAAATTATGAAAAATAATAAATAAAATAAAAAATAATTTGTTTAAATGAATATTTTAAATACAATTTTTAGAGAAAGCTAAAATAATTTAATTTTTTTTAATTATTGCAAGTAAAAATAATTTTTCAAATTTTACCGTAGAGTTGGGATAATCCAAAATTATTTTTATTAAAACAAAGATTGATTTAAACAATGTAAAACAATAATAAAATAATAAAGAATGAAATTAATAATAATTAATATATTAAATTTTTTAATATATATATAAATTTAAAAGAGTTCGATTTTTTTTAAACAATATATTAATATTTAGATTTTACCAATGAATCTAGATAATCTAAATTTCTTCTTATAAAAAAATATTAAATAATAAATAATACAAAATTTTAAAATAATCATAATATTTAGATTCCACCGAAGAGTCGGGATAATCTTAAAATTTGTTATAAATTTTGAGAACTCAAAAAAGAGTCGAAATATTCTTAAAATCTTTTTTAAAAATAAATAATTAAAATATCTTATGACGAAGTTTTAAGAATTTTGTGAATGATCAATTTTTTCTAAATATTTTCTAAATAATGATTTTCTATAAATTTCATTAAAGCATTGTTGAATTTATAAAATATGAAATAATAATAATAATGTTAATTTCGTAATAGAGAAAAATATTTTAAAATAAATTTTAAAAAATTAAACTAAATTAAATAAAAAAAAATTTCGTTATCAAAATTATAAGATTACGTATGTTTAAATGGTATTGTTCTTCAAACGGATAACGTGAGAGTGCTAATACATTTTTTACTCGTAACCGTATTTTCGAATTTAATTTTGATTTCGTAGACTTAAATTTTTTTTAATAAATTTTAATTAATTTTAAAATTTTTATTAAAAAATAATATTTTGGATGATCAATCACACCTTATAAAAAAATTGATGATAATTTCAAAAATTTTTATTAAATTTAATGATCGAATCCTCCCGATGAAAAATCATTATAACACTTACGTTATTTGAAGGTTACCAAATTAAGTTCTCACTACTTCTCTAGGCTATATGAAGTTGAGATGATGTCAAGGTTTGAGGTGGCTGATTCAGCTGGCTTAAAAAATTCTCGCCTTGGGCTATACCTCCCTGTTTTATAACATAAATATGTTATCTTACTTTATTTACTTTCGATAAATTTAGGATCTGTTTATTTCTTAAAAAATAATTTTTAAAAAATACTTATATTTTTTGAATCGAAAGATATTTTTGTTGCTTAAACGAGTTAATAAAAAATATTTTTTATCTTTTGATTGTTTTTTAAAAATTTTATTTTTTTAAATTATATTAATATAATTATTAAAGTATTAAAAATTATTTATTATTAAAATTATTAATATTAAGAAATAATTATATTTTAATAATAATATTTAATACTATAATATTATACAAAACTAAAAATAAAACTGTTTATTATTCTTTATATTATTTATTAATATATTATAATATTATTTATTAAAATATTAAAATATAATATTATTTATTAATATATTATTATTTATAAGTAAAATTATATTTAAAAATATTGATAAATAATTTTACTCATAAATACTCTGTAAAATAATTTTAAAAAATAATCTTACTGATATTTTTAAAAAATATTTTTTATGAAATAAACGGAATCTTGATGTCAGCGTAGTAGGTCCAAACTTAGAAGTTGAGAGCTTGCATACAAATATCTAACTAGTAAAGTAGGACGAGACTCTTGATGACCGAAGAGGTAAAGCTTCATTCATTAATTTTGCAGTTATTTTAAGTTTTAAAAAATTTTATTATAACCAATAAAAAAAATGGAGTACTTTCACACATTTTTAAAATAAAAAATAAATGTATTAGATAAATGCATCTAGCACCGTCCGGAATGTATATAAGAAATCAGGAAACTCCACCAAAGACACAATTGCCACAGAAATCCATTGGGCTTTGTCGAATCTTCATCCATCACATTCTCTGGGCTTTCTCTCATCGTCGATTTATGATTTGAAATGGGCTTTAAAGCTTCAAACATTAAGCAGTACTCCAATGGCAGTGGGTCATGTACTCAAACATTTGTCTTTCAACCCCATTCATGCAGAAAAGAGTTGTAAAATTTAGAGCTTATAATCATTAATATTTAGGTAGTTTATATCATAAAGCTTATATTTTTTCTTTTGTCTATTAACCAAATAAAATCTAAGATCTACTCACATTTAACATTTTACATAAAGTTTAAACAAATTGATAGTTACTTAGAAAAATGGTATAATATATAATTTCATAAAGAAGCATCTACAAAATATTGATCATAATTTCTTGAATAAAACGATAGTTAAACAATCTATTAAGAACTATATTTCCTGGGAATTCAGCATTGAACCCTCCTGAAATTGAAATTTGGTTTTGGATGGAAAGGAATTGAAAAGAAGATATTATATACTTCATTCCATTTTTATGTCATTTTTTACTCCTAACAATACAGGTAATAAAAGCATCATAACCATCGGTCAAAAAAAGAGAGAACCCAACATAACATCCAAACAGTGACAGAACCATAGAGCAAACAACATCGAACCAACACTAACTACTAAGCAACCGTTTTAAAGCAACACATATGGCCAAGCCCACTCAAACCCTAACCATTAGCCTAAGACCTCCAGTTGCCTTCCGAGGCACCGCCTCCTCTTGAGTAACGAGATCCACCATCCCCATATCCACCCTCGCGTCGTCCACCTCCATATCCACCACCCCCATATCCACCACCGTTGCCGTATCCACCATCACGACGGCCACCACCATAGCCTCCTTCTCGGCGACCATATCCACCGCCGCCTCCACCGCGACTGTACCCACCACTACCTCCATATCCGCCACCGCCACTGCTGCGACGAGACTGGGCTTCGTTAACGGTTATATTCCTTCCGTCAAGATTCTGACCATTCATTCCTTCAATAGCGTCCCTCATAGATTTCTCATCACGGAAAGTAACGAATCCGAAACCTTTGGATCTTCCAGTCTCACGATCGTTGATGATCTGAAAAAAACGAATTATTATTTAAATGAAAAAAAATTCAAATAATAAGCAAAAAATTTTAGATTTATTAAAATCGATCGATCTTCGGCCCAAAGGGCATGAAGATAGAACGTACCGGTGAGAGATATAAAAGACAGAACAGTAACAAGAGAGTATCAAGTAACAACTAGTAACACAAAACAACAGATCAAGGATCACAGATCATAGACAGGGAGGCCCGGATCGGGTCGGATCGAGTCAGATCTGGAGTCCGATCTCTGCAACAAACGGACCTTCGATTCGATGATCTCGCCAAATGTACTGAAGGCTTCTTCGAGGGACCGGTCGTCGGTGGCCCAAGCGAGCCCTCCAACGAAGCACCGGTACTCGACATCTGCTGAAGCCATTTGGGGAAACTAGAACCCTAGGGACAGATAGGGAAATTGGGAAAAGGAAAAGGGTATTTGGGGGAGAGAAGAGAATGATAAACTAAAAATGGGCTAAACCACGGTTTTATAGAGCTGGTGTGAGATTTAAGCTAGGTTCGTTGGATCTGGATACAGTGAATGCAGTTAACCATGGTTTAAAGACTTTTAAAATGGAGAACGAGGACTGTGTCTGGGAGTGATATAAATAAACCATGGTTAGGTAAGGCCAGTCGGTGACCCGTTGAAGACGGAGAGAAGGTGTCAGCTACGGCCCACAATCACGTGCTTTTCTCAGCAGTTGATGCGCCTAAAAGACTTGATATTTATCTCATGCCAAAAATATCTTAAACTATTTTTCCTTTCTTTTCCTTTTTTTTTTTTTTATAATTATAGTAATAAGTTAGTGCAAAAATATCCGGCACGCTCTTTCCGTCCACTTGTCACCGAAGGAATGGGCTGATCGGTTTGGAGTCCTTTGGGAGTTGCGCTAAGACCAAAACAACTGAATATTGCTGTCGTACTGTCATTTCCATCTGTGTTTTTTTTTTTTTTTTTTTGTGGGTTTTTCAGAATTTTGGTTTCCCAAAATTGAATAGTCAAGATGTAGACTGTAGTATTTCTTATGATTTATGGGTTTTTAGAGATATTTATTAAGGATAATAAAAATAAAAAATAATTGATTTGAATACAAATCCTTTATCAAATGCTAAAAAATATATTAATTATAATTTTTATTTTTTTTTTCAAAGAATGGTAATACCATATTACATAAAAATGATTAAATAATGACTTAATTCGAATCTAAATTTTAATATATTTTTTAAGATTTTTTTACTATTAAACCAAAAAATGAAAGGTAAATATTACGATAAACAGAGCTATTTTTTACCTTAACATATTCTCAAATCACAAAAAAAATTAAAATAAAATAAAATTCTTTTGTTAATGTGAGAAGAAAACGAGAAGCAATTTCCTTTTTAGCAAACAAGCTTTCCCTTACCATATCGTGACTCTCCAAGGAGAGTTAAAATAAAACATGTAAATATTAGTTATATAATTTGTCATGCTCATTAAAATTATTAGAATTTTAAAAAATAATGTGTTCTAAACAAAAACTTTCTTTGTTTGATATGAAGAAAAATTACTACGAATCTCGTTCAGTATATATATAATTTTTTCACTTTCTTTAGTTCTTATCAAACAGAGCAAATGAAATATTTTAAATATAACTAATAATTATATAATTATTCCATTATATAAATCAGGTTAAACTTTTTAGACTAAGAAATTACACGTAATGCAATAATCTCTCATCTTAAACGTTCCTTAACCAAACATTTTCGTATTTCACAACTTTCACAATTGAACATTTTATATCTAAAATGAAATTCATTAATTCTTTTTTTTTTTGAAAAAATCATAATATAAGAAAAAATAAATTATAGATATTAAAAATTATTAAAAATTATATTTTAAATATAATTTTATAAATCAATTAAATTTAAATTTAAATTCATAAAATTTTGTAAAATAACATTTCGTGCATATTTCATCGTCTATGAACAATAGAAGTACGAGAGTCTCGCTGGTGCCCTGTTTTGGTGTCATCCACTAAAGTTATCTTTTTTTTTTTCTTTTCGTAAAAAGAATATTAAGAAATAAATAAGTTATATAATTTTTTAAACCAAAATAAAATATATCACATCTAATAACTTAAAATATATAATTATAAATTATATATTTAAAATAATTTTAATAAATAAATAATCATGATAATATTCAAATTCAAAATTTTTTCGACATAAAAAAAATAACCTTTGACCAATCATTAAAGTTGTCTAATTCCCACGTGTGACCCTGACGCGAGGGATTGGAGCAACCCATCCGCAATGGGATTTTTATGTTAAAAAACAAACAAAAAATATAAAACACTTTTCATCACTTTTTTTTATCAAATTTATTTGTTAAATGCAATAATAATGTCAAATTAAACTTTAATTTCTTACTCAATCCAAACATTTTAAAAGAAACCTCTCATTTTTTATTAATGTTTATCGTTATATATAAATATTAATATTTAATTATTGAAGAAAATAAATATTTATAAATTATTTATTATTTTTATTATGCCATTTATTAGTAATTGCATAGCTGAATATCAGAGAAAATAAGTAAACTCCATCTTACTTCTCTTCCCGGTGCGGTGGCACAAGGGCAAGAGTTAAGTAGTAGTGTTAGCTTTTAGGTTTAAAAAAATTCTTAAATATTATTATTTTATTTAATAAATTTTTATATTTTTATTACGTTTAAATAACTTTTTAAATTTTAATTTATATTTACATAAATTTTTAATTTTTAATTTATACTAAAATAAATCATTAACAAAAATTAATTTTTTGTTTTAAATAAAATAAAATAATTTGAATTTATTTAAAAAGAGTAAAATAGTTCAATATGTTTTTGTATTTTAACTTAGTTTTTATCAAATTTCGTTCAGGGTCTTGGGCCAGGGTTATGGGCCAGGCTCCTATGTTTTCTTAACAAAAACTTAAAAAATGAGGCTGCCAACAATCGGCCTGATGACATGATGCTGGCTTGGGATCCTGGGGCTACCTAGGTTTTGGATAATCAAGTTCTTTGACTGCAATGCATGGTCCCAAAATGTTACTTATACATGAAAAGGAGCAAACAATCAAGACAATGCCTACAAGTATGGTTTAGTTTTATTCCATGTACCCACTCATCTGAACTTGAAAATCAACATGATTATGAAAAGTCACCAAATTGCTGGTACTAATTACATCTAGTTATTTGATCAATTATATATATATAAAAGGTCGTAACTGAAAAAAAATTAAAAAAAATTATAAGTGATAAGATTTAAATTTTAAACTAATAATAAAATTAAATTATGAGATATCTAATTATTATTGTTATCTCCTTATGCTTTTGTACTGTACATTTTTATCTGTTGGAAGGTTGCGTGGCCCTTTTACTCATCAGTGCCACTTTGATTCCTTAGTTTTGCTTGATAGTGGGCAGATTATTATTTTTGCTTCAAGCGAAGAGAAAGGTTAGCTTTTTTGTTGAGACCATCATATACCCAACTGATAATCATACTATTTTGATATGATTGTTTCTAACGGTATGGGGAAATTGTACTCAAAGACTGGGTTAGAGTATGTTAAAAGGTTGGAATTATTAATTCACAAGTACTAAATTTTACGCATAAAAAGAAAGCTTCTTGGTTCATAAAACTTGCTGCCTGTACATTTCTTCTTTAGTTTGAATCATTCTTCCATTGCCTCGCCTCTGTCATGCCTATATCAGTAAAGTTTGATCTAAAAAATCTATTTGGTTATCATTCCTTCCTTCAACAAAAGCAGAAAAAAAAAAAAAAAACAGTTTTGAGATGAAATCTGCCTCAATGGTAATACTTTTTTGTTACTAAAAAGGGTATATTCAACTAATTTTTGCAAGCAGATAATCATCTTTGATTGAATTTGTGATGCATCTATGTTGCATCTCTCTGATTTAATTAATTTCTACATGCCCATATTCATGAAAGAAAAAGACCAGTTAACAGGCAACAGACTGACAATGAGAAAAGGATCAAACCGGCAAAGGCATGAACCAAAAACAGGCCGAATGACGTTATACAATAGTACAAATTAGCCTGGAAAAGTCTTCAATTTTGTTAAATTTTTTGGTATAATCCTGGAAAGTATACATGCCTTTGGTGTGTGCTGTACGCAACTGTGGCTGTACATTGCGTACTAACCACTGATAAATTGAATCAGTCCAGCACCCAAAATCTGATCATTTTTTAATTTATGAATACTAACAACTGTACCTGCCACTTCCATAAATATATATATATATATATATATATATATATAAGATTGTACAGCTGCTGAGATACTCAAAAGCCACCAACACCTGCCACAAGTAGATCAAGAATCAGATTATTTTAGCACTTCGTTTTCTTTTCTTTGTTTTGCTTTTGGGATGGAGGTTCAAACATTGATTTCAGTACATACATTTTGTGGGATTATAAATAGTATTTCAATAAACAAATGAAAAAGAATCAGACCATACAGTCTGGATTCTGAACTTATAAGACAGATAATTGAGTTATTTAATTTATGTATCTGTCATCATAATGTTCAAGTCAACGTCTAGAATATGTGAATTAAACTGGATAGTATATATTAAGATTATGATGAAGGTTAAAAATATTATTCAAAGGGAAAATCATTTATGATCAGCAGCCACCTGTGGTCCTTGGTAAATAGGATTACGAAGGCTGTCTTTGAGGTTCAACTTTCTGTTTCTGTGTTTTGTTTTGTTTTTTCCTGACTGATATTAATGTTTAAAACCTCATCAATCTTTCCAATGCTTTTTCTTACGAATCATTGGTGTACGGAGACCGTTTTGCCTTAAAAAAAAAAATTACTCAACATATGTAATTTGTAGATTGAGCATAAGATAAAAAGTATTTTAATCCAAGATTGAATCATTTTTGAGCATTAACAACAGCTATTTAGATTTGTTTTTTTTTCTTGACATAATTAAGTTAGATTTGACATTATTAGATTTATGGAACGTCTTTTTTGGCCAACGGTTGAGTAATTGATATGTAAATAACCGGTAAATTTTAAAATCGATAAATTAGACAAAATTTTTATTTAAATTGAATAATTAAACAAAATCACTTCAACTTTCATATTAAAATTTTATACTCAAAGCAAACACATTTTGTCTTTATTTGAATTAATACGAAATTAATCATCCAGAAAAAAAAAACTTTTAAACTTTAATTTCTTGCAATTTGGATTAGTACGGAAAATTCTTTGAAATTGTAAAGGCTTTGTGGATAATAAAGTGGCAGCAGGCCGACATTTTGAGCCATCCAAAAAGAAAAGAAAAATCAAATTGTACACCTAAATTAACAACTTCAAGTGATGGTTAATGGTTGACTATGCTTTATTTTTTTTTAATTATTATCATTATTATTTGTTAAAAATGGACTAAAATTAAGCTGGACAGTAACGTCTTAATGTTAGACAAGTAAAGGAGGAAGGAATGAGTCA